TTCAGGCGACTCGACTCGACTCGACTCGAACTACGACGACTCCTACTACGGCTGCTGCTGCTACCACTATTACAGCTACTGCTACTGCTCCTGCAGCTGCTGCTGCTGCTACTACTCACACTACTACTACCACCCCCACTACTACTGCCACCAGCACAACCGCTACGACGACAACGATTACTATTATTATTATTATTACTATTACTACTAGTACTACTAGTACTACTATTACTACCATCACTACTATTATTACTATTATTACTATCACTACTATTACTACTATTACTAGGGTTGTGGCTGTGGCAGCTTGTGGGGGTTGGAGGAGTTGTGCTGTACTGGAAACGGTGGTTGGTGTGTAAATCGTGGCAGCAGTGAGCTGCCCAAGGTGATGAAACATAGACATAGTTATGATTTCCATGGTTGTCGGGCGCGGCCCAGTACGAATCAGGATCCGGGATCATGTGAGTTTGCCATTTGCAACTTCCTGCAATTGATAGCTGACTGCAGGGAAGTTCGTGATGTGCTCTGGCCTGCCATATGCCCACTATGTGCTGGTGGAGATGCTGGGCACACTTCCAACCCGCGTAGCACATTCTGCCAAGATGGCAATTGGTTTCTGCCTGCCGAAGGACCATTCGTGTTCACTGCTGGTCTGCTTGCACATGTTGTTAGCGTCCACACAACACAGCACTTTGTCATTTTGACAGGCATGTGTGCCGGTGGATGTGCCCATGATCATCAATTCAACTGCAGTCCAGCGGCTGGTCCCCGACCTAAGTGTGCTCCAAGTGACGGATGTTCATGCCTCGGATCCCGTTGGCGACTTGGCTTCGCCTGGTGCGGGGTTTGCAGCTTCCGTCAGCGTGGTTGCAGTGTTGGCCGTTTTCATCCTCCTGTCTACTTGGTGGATGGCCTGGTCTGCGACCCAGGCAAGAGAGGACTGCAAGAAAATGTCCTGCCGCTCCAAACCAGGATGCTCGTGACTTCAAGCCATATAAAACCCTACCACAGCAACAAAACGCTTTGAACTGGCCATACTTAAGTCCTGCGCCCAAGACCCCACGCAGGAAGCTCCGGCAGCGGCTGGGCGAAGGAATGCACGAAGTTTTCGATGTTTTGAGGCTGGGTTTGTTTGTGGCTGCAGCAGGCCTTCTGCGAGTTTCGTGCGTGTTGGTTCGTTTTTGCATGCAGGCTTTCTCGCTGGTTGGGCGAACGGGCACAATATCCAAATTGGTGGAGCTACCACCGCCACTCAGAGTGAACTGTGAAGGTAGAGCTCATGAGAATGGCTGGCCACACGGCATGCTGCTGGGTAGTTCCGTGCCAAGGAAGATCACACCCCTCACCCAAACACCGAGGTACAAGCCCACAGATTGTTTGAATGGACTGCGGGTCATTGCCATGGTTCACGTCATCATTGGCCACACGTTTCTGATGCCAGAAGGTTCCCGAAACGATGGGCGGTTTTTATTCCGTGTTGTTTGCTGTGTAGCATTGTGCGATGGCTTTCTGGATTTTTCTTGGGACGCCTTTGGTTGTCGTGCTAGTGCTGAATGTTTCAGAAACGTTTATGTGTCCTATTGGGCCACCGTTTGCCTCGTTGCTTTGCAGCTTCGAAGACCAGAGGGTGCTTTGAAGCCAATGCTTTTTCACATCCCAGCCTGACTGGATCCATGATTGTACCACAATCGCGTGAGCAGGCGTTTCTGGCTATTCAAACCCGCAGGATATCTCGCTTGGCAGGGGCGCCCAGAAGCAAATGAGGGTTCGTATGCATATACACATACAGACACAGATGTCATTGGACTTTTCCGGCAGACAGCGCTGATCACTGAATCGATGCCTTGACTTCTTCACACCTTGGATCCAGAACAGAAGCGCCAAGCCTCTTGGGACGAGGTGGATTGAACCGAGCCGTTGCAGAGAACAATCCTCTGCTGATGCTGATCGTCCAGGCCGAGATGAGTGCAGTCCCCAGCATACGTGTGCGGACCAATGCTGGGATCGAACGAGGCAAAGTCCGTTTTCTCCAGGTGTTTTGCGAGGCGACTTTGAGCTTAGAGAAGTTACGTAATGGTAGGTATTAAAGGGTTGTTTGGTTTTCATGCTGAACCCAGGTGTCGACACCTTCTTCTTTTTGCTGCTTGGACCCATCGGCCACGTCAGAGCATTCACAGCATAAAACTTACAACAGCATCTGATACTGCAGCATGCCCTGAACGAAAGATCGCCGACGTTGTGTGTTTCATGCCCAAGACTGACGACCGAACCCAGTCCAGTGGCGAGGTCCGGTTTCCTACTTTCTCATCTCACACTTAAAGAGATGCAGAGAGGGGGAGGACACGGCTTTGAGTCGGAAATTTCTGATTTCCGGCTGGAGGTCTGCCTTCGGAGTTGAGGGTTAACGAGACGCTTCAGGGAGACTTGGTTCATGTGAGCTGCGATGAATGCAAGAGCCCTAAACTGGCTCTGGAACTCTGCATAATGAAGCGCACTGCTGTCAAAGCCTTTGGTGACGTCTCAAACTAAGGGTTGCGATTCAAGATATGCTTCACCCTGCTCAACCTGTGAAGGTCATTTCTACACCCGCCCGCCGTAAGTTCTGCAGAGAAGTGCGGGAAGGAGCCAACCAATTGCTGGCCATCCTCCTCAGGTTCGTCGCTTTTTTCTTGGCTCTGGTTCTCTTCTTGCTTTTGTGGGTTTGACGTGCAATGAAAAAGTCAAAGTGAAATCAAAGGAGGAGGATGGCGTTCAATTTGCACAGCGCAGTAAGTAGTGATCCCGTGGCAGTAGCACCTAAACATGTGCCACAAGTGTAACCTAGATGATTGCAGTGGTCGGCTTGCAGATACTTGCGCCTCACGCCCAGCCTTGCCTTGACCATGCTGCTTGGCAAATAGTCTTATTCTTGGTGCGTCCTGATTCGCCGTTTCTCCCAAACTTTCAATCAGATGCGACAACATGTTGTTTTAAAAAGAGAACAAGGAGATCCCAGTCTTCCAGCATCTACTTTGCATCCGTTTCGTTCTAGACCCTAGCTATTCTCGTTTGTTTTTCTTTGTCTTTCCCTACCTACCTACCTACCTACCGACCGACCGACCGACCGACCGACCTACCTACCTACCTACCTACCTACCTACCTACCTACTTACCTACGTACCTACTTACCTACTTACCTACTTACTTACCTACCTACCTACTGACCTACCGACTTACTTACCTACTTATTTACTTACTTACTTACTTACTTACTTACTTACTTACTTAACTTACTTACTTACTTACTTACTTACTTAACTTACTTAACTTACTTAACTTACTTAACTTACTTAACTTACTTAACTTACTTA